TAAAACTAATTTAATTACTAACAATTATAGAATTAAATCCTACATGCAAATGCGACATATTTTTGTATTTTTTATTAATTTAGCAAATAAACAAACACAGACAAATACAAATAATAATCCAAAAATGTCACAAAAATACTCAAAATTGCACACCAAGGAAAATCATTTTATTTTGCATTTTTTGGGAGTATTTCTCATATAGGGCAAAAATCACGTGCTTACAATGCCTGATATCGAATTCATTGAAAACACGAAATTTAGTGAAAACACGGGTATAATAGATAATATGTTGAATGAATTTGTTGAGGAGGATCAAGATTATAAAGATAAAGAGACAGTTATGAATGTGATGAAGAACTTGGTTGTACACGAGAGGTTCCAATTCAAGGTGAAGAGATCAAGTGCAACAAGGTATGTCAATAGTTGTATATTCTATTATAGACATGTATAAATATGTATAAAGTAGTATAGATTTGTATATAGATATTAAAATTAGTATATATCTAGTTATGGTTTTGTATACAAGTGTATTTAGAAGTTTAATGATCTTTAATCCTAGGTATCACCTTATGTGTGTGGATGACAATTGTGCTTGGAGTTTCAAATCTTCTACTGTTTTCAAGGCAAACATATTCAAGGTGAGAAGTTACAATAATAATCACACATGCGGCTATGGTGAAAGATACTTAACACAACGTCAAGCTACTTCGGGTGTAATTGCTAGTATAGTCAAGGATACGTATGTTAATCCAAAAAAAGTTTACACCGCAAATGATATAATAGAGGACATACAAAAGCAACACAGGATTGAAGTGAGCTATATGAAAGTATGGAGAGCTAAAGAGATAGCAATGGCAATGATAAGAGGGAGTCCGAGTGATTCATATAAGGAGTTGCCGAAGTATTTTTATATGTTGGAGCATACAAATCCAGGAACGGTTACAAAATTACACAAATCAGAAGATGGATGTTTCTTTATGCATATGTTTCGCTATATGCATCTACCAAGGGTTGGGAGCATTGCAGACCGATAATGGTTGTCGACGAAAGTTTCCTTAAAGCAACATATAAGGGTACCATATTGACTGCTTGCACACACGATGGAGCTGGTGAGTTGACTGCATCTACCTTGTTTCTGCAGTTTGTATAATGTTGTAGTTTCATGTATAAAAGTATATAGGATTTCACAACTGCTATTTTTATAAAATTTGTAGTTGGTATAAAGTTGTATAATTGTGTATAAGATTTGTATAATTGTCTGAATCCTAATATCTATTTTGTATAAACAGGAAAAATCATTCCACTTGCATATGCAATTGCAGATTCAGAGAATAACAAATCTTGGGAGTGGTTCTTTATCCAGATAAAAGGTACTTTTGGTGTTAGGGAAGGGATGTGTATAGTTTCAGATAGAAACGAAAGAATCTTCAATGCCACAAAAGCTGTGTACCCAGAAATAGCACATTGTATTTGCAAGTTTCACTTGTGGCAGAATGTAAAGCGCACATTCAAGAACTATCACAAACAATTGAAGGATATCTTCTTTGTTTTGGCTAGAGCTTACACGATAGAGAAGTTTGAGTACCATATGATAGAGATGTGTAAAATTGATCTGAGGGTGCAGCCTTACTTGTTCGAAATTGTCTACGAAAGGTGGTCTAGGGTATACTCCAAAGTGAAAAGGTCGATGGTAATGACTTCCAATATTGCAGAGTCAATTAATGCAGCAAACAAAGATGCTAGAGAATTACCAGTAATGCGATTGCTGGAGTACATGACAAATTTGCTACAATAGTGGAACAACATAAACAGAAAAAGTGCAACGGAGACATCTATAGAGCTTGGCGAAAAGTACGACAAACTCCTTCGGGAGAATCTGATTGCATCGGAGCAAATGACGGTAAAATAAATCAAATATAATGATGCTTGGCACTGCTAACTTGCATTTTACTGCTGTATAACTTTGTATAATAATGTATAATGTTCTTTAACTTTTTTTAAAAAAAAAAACTTTTGCAGGTGAGGCCTGCTACGGAGCAGTTATATACCGTGTTTAAAGGGGTAAAGGCGAAATATAGTGTGCCTTGAAGAGGGAACACGCAGTTGCGGAAAATTTCAAATGGATGAACTTCCATGTCCGCATGCTTGGGCGGTTTTGAAGAACCAGCAGCTGAAACCTGGCCAGTATTGCTCTTTTTACTACAAGAAGGATAACCTCCTTAGAACTTATGAATTTCCAGTGAATCCGATGCCAGATGAGAGTTTATGGGTAATCCCAACAGAGGTGCTGGAAGATGTGGTCCTACCACCTAAAGGGAGAAGGAATGCAGGAAGGCCAAGAAAGAAAAGACTCAAACCTCCTTTAGAGAAAGAGTCTAAGAGGGCGTTTTCATGTTCTGTGTGTGGACAAGGTGGTCACAATAGAAAAACATGTAGGAATTGACCAAAATAAATAGTTGGAAACATAACACTTCCTATTACATTTGTTGTCATGTTGAGTAGTTAAGTTTTACATACAATAGAGTTACAAATGTTGAGTAGTTAAGTTTCACAAGCAATTGAGTTAGAAATGTCAATAAAGAATTACAATTTACACTATATATTGCAATTATGTTAAATATGTTTCATTATACATATTTTGATTATCCAATAATAGTGTCTTGTTGTTTTTAATGGTGCTAAATATATTGATAGATTGTACAAATACAAAACAGAACTGCGAACAATCAATGGTATTATATGTATACAGATGTATAAATGAGAGTATAAGTTAGTATAACTATGTATATTATTGTATACATGTGTATAAACCCTGCAATATTAACAAAACTGCAACCATAATGAAAATACATACTTTGTTAAAGGACAAAAGCAACTAAAATATTCATTAAAATATAATTCATTCACAGCCACACTGTGTAATGACTACCACAAATTATACAAAAATAAAAACATCTACAATATCCTTTAAGGTTATCTCACAAGTAGCAAAATAGTACTTAGACAAAACTAGGCAACAATTTCTGATACATAGCAAAACTACAGTAAAATGGAAAAAACAGAACTACTTTCTCGGTCGTCCCCTCTTCCTCTTCCTGAAAAGTCTCTCTGTGATTTCATCACCACTAATTGCACCGGACTGTTGTTTTTTTCTTCCATAATCCCACAACAGAGATCCACACCTGGTGCGAAATGTCTCAATGTCAAAATTATTTTTTCGAATTTCCTTACCAAGGATGAAATACTTAGCAAAGCCAACAACAAAAGCACCACAATCACTATAATTAAAAAAACAAATTAGATTCTCTGTACGTTACTGTAAATAGGTACACTAATAGTAAAATAGTAAAACAATTGAGATTAACCTACTATTTGATCTGTTGGGGCACATTATTAACCAGATTAATTTGCAAAGCATCAAAATGGGATTTATCGGTATATGCACCATTGTTCCAATCAATGCCCTTCTTCTCGACATAAAAATCAGAACTCTTCAAGAAGTAAGGTATTAGAATTGCATAAGGTAATGCAGCATCCAAAGCAAGTCTATCATTAATAGCTCTACGGTTAGAGTCATAAATGTGGATGTACCTATCTATGAACGTAAACAAACCCAAAACCCAATGGCCCAATTTTGCTCTTCCGCGCTTCACATAGATAGGGAATAAGACGTGGCCAATAGTGTGTTACGGTACATTTGCATCACAATATAATATCCTCTAATGCACTCTTCTATCTCATGCCCTTCAGGAACCACTGAAGGATCTTCATTCACTTTGAAATCTTTATACAGAGAGTTGATTTTGTTACCAAAGGCAAAGTCGGTTGTAGTAAACCGCATGGCAACATTCAGCCCATATTTTCCCCTCTTCCTCAAATAATAAAAGAGGACATCCAAGTGCTCAGACACGAAATAAAACAGAACAACCATCACTACTAGATTTTTTAAATATAGAAATTTATACACTATTATATGGAGGTATACATATTTATACAAGGTTATACAATCTTATACTGTAATTATACAAAGCTATGTATACACTATGGGGGTCTCAAACAATAAAGATATGCAACAAAAAAGGCATTAGAACATAAAGTTATTAAATACCGTGCCAATCAAAGATCGACCACAATACACAAGTGAGTGGAACCAATCCTTCGTGGTCACATGACACGAGCCAAAAGTAAAAGCTTCCACAAGCTTATTTACTTCATCGGTATATATATTTTTGGCACTTCAATTCACAAAAAATAAAAAGTAATAAGAACTACCTTCATTGACAAGTATAAAATCAGAACATGAAAGATTAAAGAAAGTGAAGATATCTTCACCTCGTATCCATCACATTATAAACAAATGCGTCAAACTCTTTAGCCAATGCCGACAATGGATCGAAATCATCAATTTCAATTGTGAAAGGATGCTTGATATAAAAAATGAGCTTGTGCACCGATCCTCATGTCCCCGAATCAAAACTGGCAAATATGGAGATTTGGCATATTTTCCTGGTATTTTCTGTCGAACTGACTGTTCAGGACAAATGTAATCATCTTCTACGTCTATGATGGATGGTCTGTGAAGCACAATTTGGGACATCTATACCGCAGCTAAATCTTCATCGCCAATGTCATCCCAAAATATGTCACCCTTGACATCACCAGCTGCCCCTTAGACAGAGAAAATCAATAATAAAAAACTTTCAAAATAAAGAAAAGAAAAATCAGACAAAAATGATAAAATGCAGAACGAATACCATGATCAACACCATCAATAACTCCCCCGTTAGCTAGCGCGTTTGTCACGACCCCGGTTCGCCATCCGTGAACCATCGTGATGACACCTAGTCTCTACGACTAGGTAAGCCTAAGATGCGGAAGATAAACTAAATTTGCGGAAGAAAATAATTTAAAATAGAAATAGAGTAATAAAATAACGTTTAAAAGTACCGCTCGGCATACACAATATTAACTCTTAAAACCAATACACTTTCCCAAAACCCGGAAACCCAGGAATCACAAGCTATAAATATAATAAAAATGCTCTAATTCTGGAATGTCTACATCAACAGAAGAAAATAGAAGGGCTATCACTACAAGATAGAATGGAAAGGGACTCCTCGGTCTGCAGATGCGGAAGATATACCTCAAAGTCTCTGGAACAGGTTCGCCTCAAGGGTGATAGGACTGAGTCAAAGTACCTAGATCTGCACATGCAAAACATGCGCAGAAAGGACATGAGTATACCACAGCGGTACTCAGTAAGTGCCAAGCCTAACCTCGGTCGGGTAGTGACGAGGAAGGACATGGCCCTACTGAGGTTAAATAAAATATAAGGTATAACAGTATAGAATAAGGCAGTATAATTAAGTGCAACAGTAAGAAATAACATAGAATAGAAAGAACAACAACAACTAGAACAGAGACAAAATAATCATGGAAAGGAAATACAACTCAACACAGAGATAACAACCAGGGTACCTTCCAGGATACCGTCCTGTAGTCTCAATTACATCTATCTAGTGGATCTCCCGGGATACCATCCCGTAGTCCATCATATATATCCGAAGGATCTCCCGGGATCCCATCCCGTAGTCCAACTATCAGTGCACGGGGATCTACCGAAATCCCGATCCATAGTCCCAATTAACCAGACAAGGGGGTTCTACTAGAATCCCACATCCGTAGTCCTAAATAAACAGACAAGGGGGATCTACCTGAATCCCATATCCGTAGTCCCAATATAAATACACAACAACAACATAGTGTTCAGCAAGTGTCAATTTCATAGTAAGGCAAATGAGTAATTCTAGTCTAGCATGCTGCACAGAATTCAGGTAAAACAGTTTGAGCAAATAAAGCAATTAAATCACTTAGACATGATTTCCTACGCTAACAACAGGCTTAAAGTGCAAGTAATATAAGCAGGGAAGGAAACATACTAGTAATTACTTAATGAAAACTTGATTTTCAATAATTAACACAACTACGCACTCGTCACCTCACATACAAGGCATTTCAGTTAGCAATAATACCAAATCCTAAGGGGAAGGTCCCCCACATAAGGTTAGGCAAGCCACTTACCTCGAACTGGCTCAAAATCAACTCAAAAATACGTTCTTACCATGATTACTCGACTCCAAAGGGCCCAAATCTATTCAATTCAATTTCATAATGCAAATAACACTTCAAGTAACTGATTCTACAAAGAAATTCTAAGCTAATACGCAAAATTAGGTAAAATAACCAAATGCTCATCGGGCCCACATCTCGGAATCAGGTAAAATTTACATTTCTAGAATCGTCACACTCTCACGAGTTCATTCATACCAAAAGTACCGAAATCGGACCTCAAATGGTCCCTCAAATCATCGCTCAAAGGTCTCTAATTAGTCAAGCCTAACCCCCAAATTTACCACTGATTTTCCTTAAATTTTCATGTTTATAATGATAAAAATCACCTCAATAACGAGTTTAGGTTCCAAGAATCTTACCTCCTCGAAGTTCCCTTGATTTCCCTCGTAAAACCTCCCCAAAAGCTCATTTCCCAGATGAAAATGGTGAAAGAATAGCTCAAATTCGCGAAGACAACTATTTATATGTTCTGCCTAGCAATCCCACATCTGCAATCCACCCATCGCATCTGCGGTTGGGGAACCGCTTCTATGGTTCTCACTTAAAGTTCCATCTCCGCACCTGCAACCCAGATGCCGCATCTACAGTCCTGCATGTGCGGTAATCCTATCGCTTCTGCAGTCCCTGCTCAAATTCCTCTTAGCCGCTTCTGCGGCTCAACACCGCATCTGCAGTAGTCACATCTGCGGCCTACCAACCACAGATGCGGTTATGACAGTAGCCCAAAGACTTCAGCTGCAATTTCCAACTTACCAACTTCCCGTTAACCACCTGAAATCATCTCGAGGCCTCCGGGACCTCAACCAAAAGCACGAACAAGTCCAATACCCCTATCCAAACTTATACCAATCCTTAAAACACCAAAACAACATCGAAACGACGAATCAACCACGAATTCAAGCCTAAGAACTCCAACACTCTAAAAATACGCTTTCGTCAAAAAGTCGATCCAATCT